TAGATAGTTTTTATTGTAAGGGCTTCTCTGACCACCCTATTGAACTTCCTATCTTCCACTCCCACCACACCATGAATAATGCCATTCCAAATTGTGTTCTACTTTTCAGCTTTAATTTTCTCCATGTAATTTATCACCATCTAACCCCTTATACAGTTTACTGTTTTGGGGGTGCATTTATTGTTTGTTCCTGCCCTGAAGCTAGGATGCAAGTTACAGAAGAGAAAGGACTTGACTGTTTTTTTCACTGCTTTATCCCCAGGGCCTAGACGAGTGCCTGATTCATGATTGGCCGACAATAAACATTTTTGAATGAATGAACAGAATATAAATATTTGCAAACATAGCTTAATGTGATTACAGTCTTGTCTTTTTACTTTATTTATTATGGGGGATCAAACCCAGGGCCTTGAGCATGTTAGGCAAGTGCTCTACCACTGAGCAACACTCCAGCCTCCAGTCATTCATACACACACACACACACACACACACACACACTTTTTGGGGGGTACCGGGGATTAAACTCAGGGGCACTCAACCACTGAACCACATCTCCAGCCCCATTTTGTATTTTATTTAGAGACAGGTTCTCACTGAGTTGCTTAGTGCCTTGCTAAATTGCTGAGGCTGGTTTTGAACTCTCAATCCTCCTGCCTCAGACTCCCTAGCCACTGGGATTACAGGCGTGTGCGACTGTGCCCTGTCCAGTTTTATGTATATTTTTTATATATAAATTTCATATATATATAATTAATTCTTATATATAATTTCTTTATATAAATTTTTTTAATTGTCGATGAACCTCTATTATTTATTTATATTTGGTGCTGAGAATTGAATCCAGTGCCTCACACATACAAGAAAAGTACTCTACCACTGAGCTACAACCCCAGGCCTATATATATATTTTTTTTTAAAGAGAGAGAGAGAGAGAGAGAGAGAGAGAGAGAATTTTTTAAAATATTTATTTTTTAGTTTTCAGCGGACACAACATCCCTGTTTGTATGTGGTGCTGAGGATCGAACCCGGGCTGCACGCATTCCAGGCGAGCACGCCACCGCTTGAGCCACATCCCCAGCCCAGGCCTATATTTTTTAAAGGAGAAAAACAACAACAAAAACAGAATCACACCAGATAAATCACTCTGCAACTTACTTTTGTTGTTTAATGGGCCATTGATCTTTCTCCAATTTAATGCATACAGAACTAACATTCTCTTTAGTTACAATAGTTCCCCTGGATAGATAATTAAAAAAAAAATTTGCCATTGTATTTTTTTTTTTTTTTTTTAGTTGTGAGAGTTGAACCTAGGGGCACCATATCACTGAGTTACATCCCTAGCCTTTTTAGTTTTTTATTTATTTATTTATTTTTAGATAGACACAATATCTTTATTTTATTTTTATGTGGTGCTGAGAATCGAACCCAGTGCCTCACACATGCTAGGCGAGCGTGCTACCACTTGAGCCACATCCCCAGCCCTCTAGTTTTTAATTTAAGGCATGGTCTAAAGTGCATAGAGCCTCACTTAATGGATGAGGCTGGCCTTGAACTTGCTACTCTCCTGCCTCAGTCCCCCAAGCCACCAAGATTACAAATGTGAACTACTGTGTCAACTTATTTTTTTTTTAATTTTAATTTTAGTTTTTAGTTGTTAATAGACCTTCATTTTATTTACTTATATGTGGTGCTGAGAATTGAACTCAGTGCCTCACACATGCCAGGTGAGTGCACTACCACTGAGCCACAGCCACAACCTTCCTTTTTGTTTTTAAGACAGGGTCTCACTTCTGGGGAATGATATTGGTTAAATTATATTGTTATATTGCGTGCATATACAATATGTAACAACTAATTCCATCAATATGTACAACTACAAATGCACCAATTAAAAAATATGGAAAAAGAAAAAAAATACAGAGTTCTGCTAAAATGCCAAGGGTGACCTTGAACTTTCCATCCTCTTGGTTCAGTTTCTCCAGTTGATAGGATTAGGATGTGTCCCACCATGCCCTGTGCAATACACATTCTAATTTTTTTTTTTGTGTGTGTGGTATGAGGGATTGAACCCAGGGCATTTAACCACTGAACCACATCCCCAGATACTTTTTAATATTTTATTTGGAGACAGGTTCTCAATAAGTTGCTTAGGGCCTCTCTAAATTGCTGAGGCTGGCTTTGAACTCGGGATTCTCCTGCCTCAGGCTCCTTAGTTGCTAGGATTAGAATCGTGGGCCACCACACCTGGCCACATTCTTTTTTTTTTTTTGAGAGAGAGAGATTAAGAGAGAGAGAATTTTAATTTTTTTGCGCTACCACTTGAGCCACATCCTCAGCCCCACATTCTTTTTTTTTTTAATATTTTTTAGTTGTTAATGAACCTTTATTTTACTTATTTATATGTGGTGCTGAGAATTGAACCCAGAGCCTCTGTACATGCTAGGCAAGTGCTCTACCACTGTGCTACCACCCTAGCCCCCTGGCCACATTCTTATATATGTATCATTATGAATTGTGTTTTTATTTCTCTAGGAGAGAATGTACCCATGTTTAATTTTATAGGATATTGTCAGAACACTTTCCAAAAAGAGTGTAACAGTTCCAACTCTCATATCATCTGGCCCCCCATGGAAGCTTTCAAAGTGTTTCATAATCTGGCCATGAATTATCTTCTAGTCTCCATTCTCTTCCGTATTTCTCTTTATCTCTCTCTCTTTCTCTCTCTTTTTGCTGGTAATGGGGATTGAACCCAGGGGCACTTTACCACTGAGCCACAATCTCAGCTCTTTTTGGTTTTTATTTTGAGACAGGGTCTAAATTGCTTAGAGCCTCACTAAATTGCTGAAGCTGGTCTTGAACTTGCAATCTTCCTGCCTCAGCCTCCTGACCTGCCGGGATTACAGGTTTATGCCATCACACCTGGCTCCCATTTTTTTTAATTGGTGCATTTTATTGTTTAGATATTAAGTGTCCCCCCAAAACTCACATGTAAGACAATGCAAGAAAGTTTAGAAGTGAAATGATTGGATTATGAGAGCCTTGATGTAATCAGTACATTTATACACTGATATAAATTAACTGAGTGGTAAGTGTAGGCAGGTAGGGTGTGGCTGAAGGAGGTAGTTCATTGGGGGTGTGCCTTTGGGGGTATATATTTTGTCCATGGTGGGGGGAATTTCTCTGTTTCTTGGTGACACATCCCCAGCTGCTTTCCTTTGTCACACCTTTTTGCTATGAAGTTCTGCCTCAACTCAGGCCCCCAAGAATAAAGTCAGACATCTATGGACTAAGACTTGTGAAATTATGAGCCCCCAAATAAACTTTCTCTCCTCCAATTGTTATTGTCAGGTGTTTTGGTCATAGCAGCAGAAAAAACTAACTAAAACAACATTTACTGCTACGCAAGGTGGTACATGCCTGTATCCCAGTGACTGGAGTGATTGAGGCAGGAGGATCACAAATTCAAGGCCAGCCTCAGCAACTTAGAGAGGCCCTAAACAATTTAGCAAAATCCTGTCTCAAAATAAAAAGGGCAGGCTGGGCGGGGGGCGCTCAGGTTGTGGCTCAGAGGTACAGCACTCGCCTAGCATGCGTGAGGCACTGGGTTCCATCCTCAGCACCATATAAAAATAAAATAAAGATATTGTGTCCACCTATAACTAAAAAATTTAAAATATTAAAAAAAAGGAGGCGGGCTGGGGATGTGGCTCAGTAGTAAAGTGCCCCTGGGTTCAATCCCCATAAAGTAAAAAAGAGCGGGGAGCGGGGCGTGTCTTGCTCTGTTGCCAAGAATGTCCCTGAACTCCTGGGCTCAAGCCATCTTCCTCCCTCTGTTTCCTGAATAGTTGGGACTAGAGGCACACATTGACACTATCGAACCCCCAACCTTACTTTTTTTTTTTTTTTTTTGGTACTGGGAATTGAACTCAGAGGGCATTCTACCTTGAGCTACATCCCCAGTCTTTACTATTTTGCTTTTTAAACTTTTTAAATTTTGAGATAGGATCTCGCTTAACTGTCCAGGCTGGCCTTGAACCTTCTCCCTGTATCTCCTAAAACATTGGGATTACAGCTGCGTGCCACTGTGCCTGGCTCCCCCACTGTTTATATATATATATATATATATAGTGAGGCACGGGGAAAGTCAAACTTCATTAAAAGCCTTCCTTATTGTGAAATCCTAGCATTCGGTAAACTTCCCTTTTCTCATTTTGCAACGTCTTGTCCATTCTGGAAAACCGCAGCCCCTATACTCTATACCCTCAGAGTATACCTACTCTGATCCCTTCACCCCTGGGCCCCTCCTTCTCTCCCCTCTGGTCTCCAAAACTCTAACATCCTGTTTCACTTGAGTCAAAGAAAATCCGCTTTCAGAAATTCACTGGCTTCTTGCCTATTCCTGGACCTAGCAAGGTCCGGGACTCCACCTTGGGGAGGTTGTTACTGTGGCAATCAATTCCTGGAGGCCTTGATTTATACGGTTAACGTGTTGGAACATCTTTTGGCTCTAACTGCAAGATCGTGCAGATTTTCAGTGAGGATGTTTAAGGAATCTGAGCTGACGTGAGGGGAGAGCTAGCTGTTTAGGCCAAAACACCGTAAACTTCAGGGAGAACCTATGGGGGGCGCTGGGAATAGGGATTAGGGTAGGGAAAGATCGGTGTTTAAGGCTAAGAGAACTTTGCGCCCCCTAAAGGGAGTGCGGATTAAAAGTGCGGAGGACAATATCACGTGCTCTCCGTTCTACCAATTGAAAATTAACAATCGCTTCCTCTATTCCCCCTGGAAACAACCCCGCCCACTGACCTTCCCACCCCGTTCTGTTGTGAGGTTTTGGTGTTTTATTGAGTGTTCAAGCTGACAATCAAATACCTGTGCCTTCTGTTTGGATACCCTACTTCCGCTTTGCAAGAGGGTACAGTTATTGGTCAATGCAGCAGGGGCTGGATTTTCCTTATCCAATGATCTCCCTACTGGGAGGGGTTTCTTGAGGACTCAGGACCAATCAGCGGCTGCGTTGCTTTTGCGGCTCCACGTCGGCACCAGCTGCGGGGCAAGATGGAGGCGCTGATTTTGGTAGGAGCCGGAGGGGCGTAGAGCTGCTGCGGTGCCCAGACGGGCGGGTAGTCAGGGTTTAGCCGACTGGGAGCGGGGAGAAAGGGGAGTTCCGGGTAATCGTCGGGGACAGAAGGTTCTGCTGGCTGGTGTAATAAGTGTATGGCCTAGTGCAGGACCTAAAGCCTCGGTTGAGAGTGGGAGCCATTCCGGGGAGAAAACATAGAGTCCGTAAAAAGTTAAAGGGAGCACATGGTGTCCTTAGCATTCCCTAGGATTATAAGTGTAGTGGATTGGGGTCCCTCAAGGTCCTTCTCATTCTTAGCATTGTGGATGATATTCTGACTTGAATTTACGCAAACCTTCATACTTGCCCCGAAACTGTAAATTTAGAACATAGTTGTGTGGTCATCACAAAACTGGTTGTTTTGAATTTGTGTGTCCATTGATAACTACCTGGCACTTTCCTTCAAAAAAAAAAAAAAAAAAACTTCGATTTCCTGTTAATCCCTATTACATAGGTATGCCATGATAAAGACTCAGCATTCTGTCAGAGTTCTGGAATATTAGAGTTAGCATGGATCATGAAATATTTTCTCAGACTCTGTTCTCTCTTTTCCCTCCTCTTTACAGTTAGGATTCCTGCCCTTGTGGGAATGGAACTCAGGATCTCTTCCATAGTAGGGAAGCCTCTACCACTGTGCTACATCCCCAACCATAGGAATTTTTATTATAGGACCTAGGATGCTTATTTCTCTCTCTGGAGAATCATGGTGGCTAAAGAGGTTTATTTGCCCTCTAGTTCATTTCATCCTTTTTTGCTAATTCAAACAACATAGTTATTACTCCTTCTTTAGAATTGGACTAGAGCATTTCTCTTAAAAGTGCTTATCTGGCTTTCAGAAAGGGTGTGTGTGCCCGTGTGCTCGCAGGTATAAGAATTCCACCCCCTTTCCTTAATTTGATCTTTAGGCATCTTTCTAAAGAAGCTTTTTTGTCTTTTATTTTCCTTCAGATTTCATACATATATACACACAGATCCTTATCACTAAAAGGGAAAATAGGTTTTTTAAAAAACATATTTTTTAGTTATACATAGACACAATATCTTTCTTGTTTATTCATTTTTATGTGGTGCTGAGGATTGAACTTAGTGCTTCACATGGAACCCAGTGCTTCACATGTGCAAGGCAAGCGCTCTGCCACTGAGCCACAACCCCAGGAATAATAGGTTTTAATTTCCCTATTTCAAAGTGTCACAGAAAATTTCTACTTATCATATGGGTTGGTTAAGTTTAGGTAAAGAGCTTAAAAATTGAGTAATTCTAAGTATTGTCTATCAGGGAATTAATGAGTATTCTAACCCAGGGGCACTTTACTACTGAGCTACATCCTTTGCCCTTTTTATTTTTTATTTTGAGAGAGTCTTGCTAAGTGGCTGAGGCTGGCCTTGAACTTTTAATCCTGTCTCAGCCTTCTGAGTTGCTGGGATTACAGGCATGTACCACCCTGCCTGGCAGTTAATGAGTTCTCTTAACCCAGGTAACAGACTAAAATAGATTCTAGGGAATTGGTTTCTTTGGAAGTTTTTAGATTGTTTCATACATATATTTAAAAAGGAGTCTCCTTAAAGTCCAAGAAATGAGGAAGATGATGTCTGGGGAGTCATTTTTTTTTTTTTTTTTTTGGTATTGGAGATTGAAACAAAGGGCACTGGGGGCTGAGGATTTAGCTCAGCTGGTAGCGTGCTTGCTTCACATGCACAAGGCCCTGGGTTCAATCCCTAGCACTGCCAAAAACCAAAACAAAACCAAAAACCTGAAACCAAGGAGTGCTTAACCACTGAGCCACATTCCAAGCCCATTTTTAATTTTTAGCCAGGGTCTTGCTGAGTTACTTTAGGTCTCACTGATTTGTTGAGGCTGGTCTTGAACTTGCAGTCTTCCTACCTCAGCCTCCTGGGCTACTGCACCACCTGGCCTGTGGAGCCCCCCCCCCCCCTTTTTTTTAGTTTTAAGTGGACACAATATTTTATATTTATGTTGTGCTGAGGATCGAACTCAGTGCCTCAAGCATGCTAGACGAGCCCTCTACCACTGAGCCACAACCCCAGCCCTAGAGCCATTTTTTAAAAAAAAATATTTTTTAGTTATAAATGGATCTTTTATCTTATTTATTTATATGCAGTGCTGAGGATCCAACCCAGGGCCTCACACATGCCAAGCAAGTGCTCTACCACTGAGCCACAACTCCAGCCCCATGTGGAACCCTTTTTAACAATGAGTTTGTGTGCAATGGTGATTCGGCTGGACCTTTGGAGAAATCTGATCAAAATATATTCTTTTGAATTTGAGCAAAATGTGAAAATCTGTCATATTTTCTCTTCCCTAGTTTTGTATCTGCTTCTCTCTTATTCCTTCCATTTAATCTGTGTCTAAGATGCTGCATTTGAAGATCCTTGCTAACTTGGTCAGGTACCCCTGAACTTTGTTTAAAAACCATACAGGAGCCGGGGCAGTAGCATACGCCTGTAATCTCAGTGGCTCTGGAGGCTGAGGCAGGAGGATTGAGAGTTCAAAGCCAGCTTCAGCAGTTTAGGGAGGTGTTAAGCAACTCAGTGAGACCCTGTCTCTAATAAAATACAAATAGGGGTAGGGATGTGGCTCAGTGGTTGAGTGCCCCTGAGTTCAATCCCCAGTACCAAAAAAAAAAAAAAAAAAAAATACTGATTCTTTGTCATCAGGAACCTATATAATGGAGTTAGGGGAAACCAAGGTATAGGGAAAAGAACTTAATAAAGGAAGTTCCTTTGTAAAAACTTGGATTAGATTTTGATTTCCTTATCCTCCCAGACCAAGTCTCTTTCTGATGCTACTGTAGGTTTTCTCATTGGGACCTTTCCATTCTTTCAATATGCAGAATTGTCCTTTCAATCATCTGTTATATAAAGCTTTTCTTGGGGACCAAGAAAAAGTACCAGCATGTATCAGTTCTAATTTTTATGCTGATCTTTGATTTGGGATATTAAACCAGGTACCTTTCTTCCCCTGTATCATCTCTATTCAACATTTTTTTTTTCTCTTTACAATTTAACTTTAATTTGGACTCCAGTTAAGAATTTGTGTTCATTTTCCACTAATCCAGCCTTTCTTGACTGGAATTCTGAGAGAAGATTAAGCCCTACTGCCCTAAGGCATCCATTGCGTATAACCAATCAACTTCTCTATATCCACCATGGCATTATTTTGTACCATTCTTGGGATAAATGAGGAAACTTTTTATTACTTAAATATTATTATGTATTTGATGATTCAGATGAAGAGTCTCAGTTGAGAATCAAGTAATTTTTCCTAGATCCCTACTTCTCACTCCCCTGACATACTGGCCCACAAAATTCAGCTCCATCTGATTTAGAATCACCTTTTCTCACTGCTCCTTTTTCTCTCATTTCCTTGTATTTTTACTCAGTAGTACATCCTGATTTTTGTCTTCATCTTCATTAGTATTTCAAAAGTACAAGGGATTCCTGGATCTCACCTTAGATCTCTACTGAGCTAAAGAGTTTACTGTATTGGCCCAGTGCAGTGGTCATGCCTGTAATCCCAGCCACTCAAGAGGCTGAGATAAGAGGATCGAGAATTCAAAGGCAGCCTCAGCAATGGTGAAGCACTTAGCAACTCACTGAGACCCTGTCTCTAAATAAAATACAAAATAGGGCTGGGGATGTGGCTCAGTGGTTTTGTGCCCCTGAGTTCAATCCCTAATAAGAAGAAAAAAAAAAAAAAGTTTACTGAGATACTGTTTAACAAGTCACTCCTTAGGGGGGGTAGACTCCTAAAATACTTTGGGTTCCTACTCTTACATTTCTATTTGCTGATTCGACTAGACCTCTGGAGATATCTGATCAAAATGCATTCTTCTCACTTATACAAGGCATAGACAAGTTGTAGGATGTTGAGAAAGGAAGGGTAAGATGGACTGGGTCAAGAAATTGCTGGGCGCTGGGTGTGTGGTGGTGCATGCCTGTAATCCCAAGGGCTTGGAAGGCTGAGACAAGAGGATCGAGAGTTCAACGCCAATCTCAGCAATTTAGGCACTAAACAACTTAGTGAGACCCTGTCTCTAAATAAAATACAAAATAGGGCTGAGGATGTGGCTCTGTGGTTAGGTGCCCCTGAGTTCAGTCATTAGATGCCCCTGAGTTCAGTCCCCGGTTCAGAAAAAAGAAAAAAAAAAGAAAGAAAGAAATTGCTGGGCGCTGTGGTGCATGTCTGTAATTCCAGCAGCCAGGGAGGCTAAGGCAGGATGTTCAAAGCCAGCCTCAGCAACTTAGCAAGGCCCTAAGCAACTTAGCAAGACCTGTCTCCAAATAAAATGTAAAAAAAGAGCTGGAGATGTAGCTCAGTGGTTAAGCATTGCTGAGTTCAATCCCTGCTCCCCACCCCCCCAAAAAAAAAATAATAGAAAAAAATAACCATCAAAATTTGCTCTGAGGGCTGGGTCTGTGGTTCAGTGGTAGAGCACTTGCCTGGCACATGTGAGGCACTGGTTCAATCCTCAGCACCATATAAAAATAAAATAAAGGTATTGTGTCAATCTACCACTAAAAAATACATATAAAAATTTTGCTCTGATTATGGAAATTTCTAAATAACAATAGGTTCTCTTTTTTTAGGTACTTGACAGTAGGTCACATTTCTTAAATAATACAGCCCAAGCTTTCAAACAGATTTGTCTTATCTTTTTGAGGTCTCCTTGTAGTCTCTAAGGAAAAAGACCCTTTCATCTCTTTCAGTTACCAGGGGCTTAATAATAATGCTCTTCAGCCTGCATCTTTGGACTCAGCTTTCTCTCTCCTGCTATTTCTTCTGGTTCTCCCTTTTTTAGTTGAAGGGAGAGGAAGTTCTGTAGGTCACCATTCTCCATTAATAACCTATGGAAGCCAGGTGCAGTGGTCCACACCTGTAACGCTGGTGGCTCTGGAGTCTGAGGCAAGAGTTCAAAGCCAGCCTCAGCAACAG